ACGTAGGTGGGTTTTCAGATTTGAGATTCTGATTGGCAGAATTGAGGCTGTGCAAGCTAAATCGCCAGGGACAAATCTGTACCCAATGGTACTTGGGTATCTATCTGTAATAAAGAAGTTACGAGCCTGAGAACCTTGGAACCTTCCAAGTTACATACGAACTGTCATAGAGGATGTGCAGTGCTTGCAGCGCATATCTAATCGGCACCCTAGGTACCTATACCTACTACCTAGCCCTGGAGGTGTTGTAAAACGCAGATGGATCCTGGGATTTAACATCAAACCCCCCAAATTCATCATCACCTGAGCATTTATTAAAAAGAACTCCAACCTTTTCCTAGATTTATACATATTGCCCAGTTTTCCTTCTCTTTATTTTTGCCTCTTGTCGTTGCAATTCCAAGCCCGTCATTCTTGAATGTGCCCGAATCCCGGCCTATCTATTTAGTCACAATACATTCGAATTGTCTTCCAACCCTACCTTACGTGTGGCAATGTCCTAATGTCCTAACTAACATTTTGTTTCACTCTCCGTTCTTTAACTGGTTAATTCCTTACTCGCTCCATACGCATACAGCTCGTCTGGTTTATGAACTTAAGTGGGAAAGAAGATTGGCTGGCGATACTAAAGCTTGGAGTCGTAGTATACTCCAGACCACGCGTCGCCGCGTCTCCCCCTTAAAAAATTCGCATTGTACTGTACCATACAGGTTTTCTTACGGGATACTAGCTACATATCTTAGAGTTTCAGACTCTTATCTGGCGGCTATTCCAAAGAGCCACGCATTCATTAAGTTTCTGCTATCCCCCCTGGAACTCAACACGGGGGTTATAAAAAAGGACTTATCACCTCCCGTGAACGAGATCAGGCACCGCTTTGTCTCTCACTCAAGAAGACCTACCCACGATTTGCTTAACCCACTCCACTGGTGTCTCTTCCAATTCATATCAATATTATCATGAGACGCCCTCGCACCTGGGCATCACGGCTTCTACAATACGTACGCAACGTTACTGTATACCTAGGTGATCAGCGGAGGTGTGTGATTTCCCCCGGATTTGATGGTTTGGCTAAACTTCAAACTGCCAAGGGCAGTACCCGTACGGCACTTTGGAGATGCCAATCGATTTTCAGATACAATTCTCCTTCGTTCCTCCTTCCCAAGCCGGCAGCAGCATCGACTACAACCACCACGCTGCAGTCTCAAACTGCCAGTGCCTATAAACATGCACCCAAGCGTTAATTACGCGGATCCTCGTATAATTAGGTTGGTAGAAGATGTCTAGTTAAAGAGCAAACCCCGAAAAGCAAGCAATTAATTAGTAGAGTTGGAACGAAGCTTTAATTTGCTTTTCCTACTAATATTAGCGAGATTCATTTACAGACGCAAAACACATATACTTTTTGGTCGGCGATTCGGACCCCTTTATGAGAGCGTCGCGGGTCAACCTTTTGGGGCGTATCAATCTTTCAGCTCTGAGATATCTCATCTGTTACCTACCTAGGTAGAGATAAGGGGGATTCTAGAATCGACGCCCTGGCTATTCTAGCCCTACATTACCTTCTCATTCGTCCTCTCAGCCGCTTGTGGCTAACCAGGATTTCACCAGTTGCCTCTTCTAGCGTCAAGATCATCAGCAGGGCATGTCACAAACTTCAAGAGCGTTGTCGAATAGAGAGCAAATTCATAAGCGAGAAGAATCGCTTGTGCAACAGCCCACAGCCGTTAGTAGTTTGCTATTTGTTCCAAGCTGCAGAGAGCCCGCAGAGCGTCGAATGCTGTATCTGAGCTCTATGATGACGAACGCCTTCGCAGCACGACATCTCACTACAGTTGCAACCCCTCGACCTTGGGAGGTCCTCTCACGATCAAGTCACATGATTGAAGTTGAAGTCCAGATGCAAGGGATCGCAGCCTCAAGCAGGTTACCGTTGTAAGTTTGCCATGGTATTGCTGATTGGTCATGTTCTTGTGGTTCCTGGTAAGCATGCTATTATTGGATATACAATAGATTGGATGCCTTCACAGCCCGAGATGTGCCATCATGACGTCAACTTTTCGATAAATCAACCTCTTCGACACCGAGTTTCGATCGAGAGAGAAATTGCAGAGATATTATACACAACAAAACAATTATTAAGCAACTTCGCACCTATGAACAACTTGTCCGCGACGCAAACCGAGTTATAATTCTCGCAAGTCGGTATCCAACCGAGGTAACGGGCGACCGGCAGACCGGGGAACGTAAAACTCGACTCGACCAACTCCATTTTCCCGATCTAAAGCGTACCATTATATTGCGACGACATGAATATTTTTTGTGAAAGTTGCCGAGATGGGTTTTTGTCACACTTTCCGGCCTTGGAGATTCAGTAAGGCGCAGTTAAAGGAACAGCTAATATCTACAGTCTATGTACCTAAGACTTAAGTACAACCTTACCATATGGGATTTCAACAATCACGCATAGAAGCGAAGCAATTCTTACTATCGATAGTCCATCATCTTCCGTCTTGTCATGCCTCGCATAAAGCCCGCGTCAAGATAGGCACAGCATCACCAATGAGATTGGTTCTTCGCTTAAACTCTTTCGGTCATGATTATGCTTTTTTGTCCTTCATTACCAAGCACTAGGAGATAGAAACTATCAGTCAACGGCTATTGCTATAATGAAAAAGGTCGACATTTTCCAACCTCGCCCAAACAAATATATTTTAGGTTGTACCGCCTCCGGTTTCACTCACCGGTAGGCGGGATAATTGCTGTCGAAATTGCCAAGATATGTCCGAGGCGAAACTCATAATTATCCCGCGAGAAGCCCTTCTACATGCATACCTAATGTTTGTATAGGAGTCTAATCATGAGCATTTTCGCGGCCCAAGAAAACTTTGAACCAAATATGAAAGTATGTATAGTATGTATGTCCCATACCACCGCTCTCCAGAATTCGGACGAAGAGTGAATCCAAGTTGGCATCCAGCTTTTTCTTCAACTGTGGAGTGTCTGTCTATATGATCATCTCAAGTCTTTCAAGTTTGAGGATTAAATAGATATGAAAGAGTGGACCGTCAAAATCCGATATAGCTCCATTATGCGGCCATTCTCGGTGTGCGGATCTGTAAACTTCGGTATATTTCTCATAGATACGCCACCGTCATCTTAGATTACCAGAATCTAATGTTTCAATCAAAGACAGGAGTATACAATTTTGAAAAACAGTATGTTGCCTGCCGAGTTTTATCATTATGATCATCTCTATCTATTCCACGATGCCGAGCATGTACCTGCGTCATGTATGTTAAAAGTTACGCTACCAAGGAGTTCTTGGCATCTGCTCTTTGTTGAACAGTTTCAGAATGTCGATGTCGTGATACCTCGAGATTCTGATTCTCCGAAACCAGGTGCTCAGTCCTGCTTACATCATTACAAGAGGAAGCTTCAGTCTTCATGCTGCCTTAAACCTGACGATTAAGAAGACCATACATAATAGGCGTAAGTTTAGTAACAATAATGAGCAGCTACCTCCGAGTGAAGCTTTCATACATGTTACACTGGTAAGAGATCCTGAACAATCTTGAGTATCCTAGGGATATTACTGAGAATGGCGCATCGTAACCGATATCTCGATGATAACAAACGCAAAGAGTAATTACCTATGATATATTAGGTATATGTATTTACTGGATATTCGATGGAGGACAATTAATGCGGACAATTAATGCGGCGTCATGCGCTTCATAGGTACACTAGACTAGCGGAATGGGTGGGGCAAAGGATGAGAATTTGCACCTACAACTGCACCTTCCTTATAAATCAAAGTCTCGTCTCCCACATTCATCCACCAGCAATCAATCGATCAGCTGCGAAAGCTGAAATTTAAGCCGGATGGCACCTGCTCGGTTAGCTCAGCTGGTTAGAGCGTCGTACTAATATCTTCGATTACGGACATATATAGTGTATGCGAAGGTCATGAGTTCAATCCTCATACTGAGCACCATCTTTTTTTCACATCTCCCTTTTTCTCTTTTTAAGCCATTAGTAATTTTTACTCGTCGTTCTTCCGGCGTCTCATTGAATTCAATGACTTACTAAAGTTGTCAAACTCAAAAGTGAAATAATAAGGGGACAATAGTGACTTCACCAATCAGTGACTACTCTTTTAATTCGTTGTCCTAACTATTCACTTTTCTTGCCCGTCCCTTCTCATTATCACTAGGATTTAGGTTCGCTAGCCACAGCGAATGTACCGTCAGGTTATAGAAACAGCCTTTTAGTTTAGTCCCCTTCATATATGATCCTGTCAAGTAAGCTCCGATACACCATCCACAGCGCGGAAAGCGCCCCGACAGCTGTCTGAACCGACCACCGTAATGGTGGCCGCTCCAGGGCTCACACGCTTCAGACCCAAGCGGACTGACACGGAACGCCGTAGAATCGAAGAAAAACAGTGACCCTACAGGGCACCCCCGAACTTAGTACGCCGGACACGAGCTCACTTAGAGGAGCCCACAAAAACAGTTAGAGTGTAATCATGTATGCCGATAGGTTTGACATGTAGGATACTTCGGGCAGGACCAGGACCTTTGTATGATTAGAAACTAGACTTTAGACCTCAAAGTAGCTCTACACGCCGCATACCCCTAGGGAGGAGGTTTGCGAGGGAAGGTCATTCCCCCTTGCCCTGGCATTAAATATACCAACCAACCAACCAACCCGATACACCATCACCAACAGTCACCTTGCCCCTAACCAACCGCGCGACTAGTCACAGTATTTCCAACATCAAGATCCCATCAAAGATACTATTAGGAAGTTGGTGATTTTCCGTGCAGGTCAAAAGTATTAATTTAGTTGGTCCCCTCAGAGTTGACAATTCTGGATTAATTGTTAGTGTCGTGACCATACATCATCCAATATGAATCAGCCAATATTCTCGAGTCTCAAAACTCGAAAGTCCTGGACCTTATCATCACCACACTAAGTTGCAAATAAAAAAGATTTAGTCGCGCCGTGGATCGAACACGGAACCTTCTCGGGACATTGAAATGAGCAGACGTATCAGTGTAAACGAGATGTCATAACCTTTAGACCACACGACCTTGACGAATTTCTAGGTATTTCACTTTATGAAGCAATCAGAGTTCCTGGACCTGATACCATCCATCTCCCAAGATAACGAGTTTTCGATAAGTCTGTATCGATACTAAAATGGGAAAGGCGTAATAGGTTTCTAGCAAGTGTCGTCTAGGATGATGAGAAAGCTCGATACACCCTGCCAAACTCAACTGTAGAAAGTAATAAGGGTTTGTACATCATCACACACAATGCCTACTACAGACCTACATAGATCCAATCTGCCCCTTTCCAAAATGACATCCACGCATACGGAATCCTTTACACATCTTGGGCATTTACTCACCTAATTACCCATCTTCATCCCATTTCAAATCGCATAGCATCATCATGAAGGCGTATGAAATAAGTAAAAGATCCCATTGCCAAAGATATACGGGACTAGAGCCTCGACCGCAAGACGCCACCATACTACGGCGGTTTGCTGTAGTACGTGGTAGACACCTAACTAGCTAGCCAGGACGAATCCTGCCTCTGATACCTTGCCCTAAGACTAAAAGAACCCCTTTGCACGCACGCACGCACTAATACTAACGAATCATCCCGTTTCTCGAAAACGCCTTTAGGAGTAATGAGCCTCGCATTTCTTGGGGGGTGGGGTGGTGTAGGATTATGTTAACTCCTCGAACGCCGAAGTATTCATCCCGTTCCCTCCCATCCTTAGAACCCACCCCGTCCCGTGGAGATATGTGTAGCGGGAAGAGAGATAAAAAGAAACTGCCGATTGAATGAACTTATGCGAACCTGGCCCGAGCCGGTCCTTGAGTCTGCAAGTACAGTATATGGGGGAATAAAAAAAGGAAATTTGTGAAACTAGAGCACAGCTGTTCGTACAATATTAAGATACCTCCGCATTATCGTCTTCGTGAAGGCGCCTTCCGCTTTTTCGCCTTCGCGGTACTCTTCTTCGTAGGACTGACGGTCCCGGTAACTGGTTCCGCAGTCTCGGTGGTGTTGGCCGGTGATGCCGTGATGCTATCCTCGTTGATCTCGACGCCGAGTCCCTTCAGCTCATCCTCGTCGATCTCTGTAAGCTCCTCACTAAGGCTGCGAACAGCATCCCTTCCTTGCCACTGCTCCTGGGTCGCAGATGTTCCTTCAGGCTCGAAGTCCTGTAGATACCATACGACACCGCCATCGGTAAGGGGGTCGGTGGGCTGGTGTCCTAAGCTCCCGTTTGATTGGGGAGGGGTAGGAGGCGCGGGCTGCAATGAAGGTGCTGCACCGACATAGCCATTCGTCGCCGGCGGCGTATCTATGGCTTGCATACCATCGGCTGGCACCGCTTCCGGTTTGCCCTCGATAATTGGTATTTCCCGACTAGACGTCGCATTAGTGGTCGACTCGACACCTTCCATCTCATCACCATCCAAGCCGGACGTATTAACTTCGATATTACCGCTGCCACCTGCAAGTCCGGTCATGGGAACGTCACCCGAGGCTTCTTCCGTACCGACAGATCCGTCAGCTTGGCCGCCCACGGTTATCTCTGGAGCCGATGCCGACGAGTCGACCATGATGACGTCCTGGCTTCGCTCAGATTCCGTGTTGCTATGTTTAGGAACCGGCGGCCGAAGTTCGAGGCTAGCCTCTATCATAGACTCTAGTTCTTGTCTCATTGTCTCAAAGGGCTTGTGAGCAGCCTCCGACTCGAGTCGTAATGCCGTCTCTAGCTGTGGTTGAACCGATTTGAGTATTCTTTTTCCAAGCTTCTTTCGATCTCGAAAATCGGAGAAGTCAGATTTAGACACGGCTGGAACGATAATACCAGACTTCTGTTGCGACTCGGGTTGGGGTTTAGGCTCAGTATTGATACCTATGTTGATTACCTCGCAGAGATCGAGGGTAAAGGTTAGGGTGGCAGTGTAGAGTCGTTCATCGATTCTGTTGGATATTTTCAGTAATCCCTCGTGGAAGAGATTTTTATCCAACCTGGTGATGTGATTAGCCTCTTAAGAACTCCAAAAACGACTATTTGTCAACTTACGCGATGGCTTTCTCCACGATGGGGGGAAGCATCTTATGAATGGGAAAGTAACATGTATCGACGAATTCTTGCTCCATTTCAGCCGCCTCAAGCTTGCTTTGCTCTCTCTGGACTATGATTTCCGATAGTGCCTTCAGCTGCTCTAGGTCCGAGATAAGCGCCTGGGCGAAGTCGATCCGTCTCGACAGGCGAGCCTTGCCGGATGGACCCATAGCTGCGAAGTTGCGTCGAGTAAGCTCCATAGAGGAGAATGCCTCCATCTGCAACTGCAAGCGCTTGAGGAGTGCGGCGCCGCGACGCATTTCACGCTTCAGTGTCCAGTAACGACATGCGTCACTCACAAACTCCTTACGTTTGAGGAAATTGAAACGCTGCAGAGATGCTTCGACAATCTCGAAAACAGCTTGCGGTATGACGGGAGCCCCGGACGGTAACTTCCATATCGACTTTCCTCCTTGCCCTTTCTTATCCCCGAGGACGGCAGAGAGCTTAGCTCCGGTCATCTGGGATTCGTCAGGTGGGTGATCAGTTATCGCATTCCGGTGCGACGCTGCGAGAGTCAAGGCCTTGGCTTGGCTGTTGGCCCAGATACGATCTTTCATCGTTTTCTTGTAGAACTTCTTCGCTCTCTTAGTAGCGCGTACTACGTCGTTCTCTTTAGCGTACTCGGAAGGACAATGCTTGTCGCAGAGTGCTTTGAGGTTCGTGCTCCCATCAAGAACATCCAAGGCACCCGAACTGTTCTTCATTTTCAAGAACAGGCGGGCGCGGCGGGCGCAAGTCACATGGAATGCCTGATAGCATGCCTTGTTACCGCATTGTATGCAGGCACCCATCTGCTGGTTGCAGATGTAACATGTCAACTTCCAGCGGCTCTTTGGGACCTTATCCACATCCATGACGGGCTCCATAAAGGTGTGGTTGCCCAGTGTCACCTCCGGAATCCACATGGCACAGAGAAGATGCGCCCACTTGGAGGAATTGGTCTGTTTGAAAGCACCGTCCGAGTTTGGGCAGAAAATACAAGTCTGGATGTTGTTAGTAAGTACAGGGCCCAGAGTAGAGCGGGACTAAGGGGAACTGACCGGGATACCACGACCAATAAGCTGGCATTTTCGACAGAGCCATTGACCCTCGGGAATAAATGGAACGCCATAACATTCTTGGTGGACCGCAAGATCGCACCCGTCACAAAACACAATTGCATTTGTGTTCTCGCAATCTCCATCATCGCAGATCGCGCACTTGCTATCTTGCTCTTCCCCAGCTTGGGGCTCGCCATTAACCGCCGCCGCCGAGCTGGATCGGGGTCGATGAGTCTGCGGCGGTTTTGGGTTAGGTTTGGGTATCCTCTTCTCCAGCGCGTGCCACTCCTTCTCAATTTTCGTGATCGTAATCTCGAAGACTTCACGAGTGACTGGGTTCCAGCCCTGCGACTTTCTATGGGCGTTATATGATTCTAGCCACATGTCGTCCTGTTCGTCCATGTCGTATTCGACACGGCCAAGAATGTTGGTAGCTTGTGGTATGGAGTCTCCATCGACCTTGACAGCAGCAGCAGCTTGATCTGCTTCATCTTCGATGTTGGCGTCGCTCGCTTTGATAAGTTTTCTGTCTGGTCGGATGAAATTGTCGCTCTCTTGATACCCGACATTCATCATTGCCTTGTCAACATATCGAGCTTGGCCAAACGTCTTGCTCTCAAAAAGCAATATGCGGTCTGTTTTCCGGTAGGAAGGCTGTTTCAAGTCGAGCTTCTCCTTGGTGTTCTGACCGTGGATGGGGAGGGGGGTTGGTGTATTTGGTGCCACCTGCTGATCACCACGAGTAGCGTACAGAGAGTCTCCTCGTGGTAGGCGGCCACCACGCCTTCTGGGTGTTATAGTGAGCGTAGTGGGAGTTGCAACGCTGCTCGTTGTGGCATTGGGCGCATTCAAGAGGGAAGTGGGGGCCTGGTTCGGGTCCTTTAGCGGACTACCAGCATCGGTATTATCCACGCCAGCAACCTTTGCGGCTGGGGTCTCTGGCATAGGTTTCGCAGTCCCGTCGACATCTTCGGCATGAAACATCATAAACGTGCCATCTATGTCGAGGTTTGGGTGAAACTCCTCCCAGCCGCGTTCTTCTCTCGGTTTATATCCTTCGCTCTGCACGACTGCAGCTACTGCAGCGGCGGAACTAATTTGCATATCATCGTCCGGCTCAACTCGGGTTGCAGTACGGGTTCGGGTGCTACGTTCACGTCTAGGGTAGATGGCGGGGGAAGCCGCACCGTTTTGCGAACTGTGTCGCGCTCTCGAGCGGCTGGTAGTCGCGACAGCCGAGTCGCCTTTTTCGTTGCCCGTCTGGTCGGCAAACCTGCTAGAACTTCCAAGACCGCTAGCGGTATACCGTCGACGCTTCGAAGGGGGCTCGGTAGCGGCTACAATGCTGCCATCTCGAACGCGTCGCACAGTGTTGATGGAGCCTTTCGGCCGACCGCGCGGGCGCGAGAGGGCAGATTGCCTTGGTGTTCTCGGACTCGGCGCCATCGCTGCTCTTTCTTCAGTACCAACTAGAATTTGATATGGATGATGCGATAAAAAAGGTGCCCTAATCAGCGCGTCGCAAGGAGGAGGCGAGGGGGATAATCGTGTGGTTGATGTCGACAAACAGGCATTTGAGAAGCATCACAGGGATATGACGGATGCTTTCAGACGACAGTTGGGAAATCGAAAGGGGTTTTATTGAGAAATAAAGTCGTTTAAGGAAGTCGAGGTTGAGAAAAGGTGGTCAAGAAGTGTCAAGAAGGTTCAAAAAAGTAGTCAGGACGCGCTGGTGAAGTCGGCTGGAGGTGTCGGCCCTAGCCCCTAAAAGGAAAAGTTTAACGCGCCACAATTACGTAAGCTCAAAGTAGCCCCTCCCCACCCCGGACCATTCTTAGTCGCAACTCCCCCAAAGTTTCGAATCAGCCAATCATATCAAATAATTCCTTCTCCA